TATTTGATTTTGCTGGGAATAGATTCATTGGGTGCAACTAATGCTGTATGTTTATTATGAAGGGTCGTAATGTGGTGATTGAACAAAGTTGGGGTGCACCCAAGGTAACAAAAGATGGTGTGACTGTTGCAAAAAGCATCGAATTCAAGGACAAAATTAAAAATGTTGGTGCCAGCCTTGTAAAACAGGTTGCCAATGCCACTAATGATGTTGCTGGTGATGGTAAGACTTTAGATATACTGTTTCTTTCCCAGTGTCTTCATATGTGCCTAGAGTTTGCATGTTGGAGTTCTAAAAATCTTTTACATGTCAGCTAGAGTTTAACTTTTACATGTCAGCTAGAGTTTAACTTTAGCTTTGTATTTCAGGTACCACTTGTGCAACAGTCCTCACCCGAGCAATATTTGCTGAAGGGTGCAAGTCTGTCGCAGCTGGAATGAATGCAATGGACCTTAGACGGGGTATCACAATGGCTGTGGATGCTGTTGTAACAAACCTGAAAAGCAGAGCACGGATGATAAGCACATCCGAGGAGATTGCCCAGGTATCTTTGCTAGCTTTAAACTTTAATGAAGTACAGTCCAAAGGGTATGTCTTTTTGCGGTACTTAAACATCAACATTTTGAGTAGCAAGCCCTTCAACCCCCGAGCACTTACCTCCCCCCCCCCCTCCCAAAAGGGCGGGCAAGGATTTCATTTAAGAAAGTGATATCAATCGTCTACCGCAGTGGTCAGTGCTGTATTATTTCCGCTAGAATTCTGATATTGCAAGGATCAAGCAGAGGGGGTAAAAGCAGAATCTAACTTGCTCTTCGGTGCAAGTAAAAATTTCAAAACACTAATTTTCTGGATAACTGAATGAGATATCAATTTTCTGTTCTAGTGTGTCGCAGCTGCACTATTTCCAATAAAATTATGATAGTATGACCTTTTGATAGGTTGGGACAATCTCTGCAAATGGAGAAAGAGAAATTGGTGAGCTAATTGCAAAGGCTATGGAGAAAGTAGGCAAGGAAGGTGTCATCACTATTCAAGTAAGTAATTTTCAGATTTTGTTTTATGTGTATAACACATGATATTTTTGCCATGATGGTCTGAACTTTTCCTTGAATTTCTGGTCTGCTAAAATCATAATTTCTTTATTGCCTTGTCGGATGTATCTGAGAGAGGAGAAGATGTAGAGTTACCTAAAAACTTACTGTGATTTTATTCATTTGAGTTGGTAATAGCAAACAATTGTGCAAGAACCCTGACATTTGGAACTCTGGCACTCTTTTTTTTAGTCTGATAAGAATATTGTGTAATTCTTTACTTTGTGATAACTGAGTTGGAAACGTACGGAATCGTGTTGTAAAGATGTGAACACTAATCTATTCTAATATCATGCAGGACGGAAAGACATTGTTTAATGAGTTGGAGGTTGTTGAGGGGATGAAGCTGGACAGGGGCTACATATCTCCATACTTTATCACGAATGAGAAGAATCAGAAATGTGTACGTCTTCGTTATTAATTTAGCTGCATGATTGCTTTGGCAATATTTACATATTTTACAGCCAGCCTTTTTTTCATTTGAGCTCACAACAATTCTGATGCCCGACAGGAGCTGGATGACCCACTTATTCTTATTCACGAGAAAAAAATCTCAAGCATAAATGCTATTGTGAAAGTGTTAGAATTGGCTTTGAAGGTAGTCTTTCTTCTGACGTTCATAATTCGAGTTTCAACTATGACCTTTAGAGCTGTTTCTTATTCTTACTTCATATGTTCAGAGACAAAGGCCCCTCTTAATTGTGTCCGAAGATGTGGAGAGTGAAATACTTGCTACACTTATTCTGAACAAGCTTCGTGCTGGAATCAAGGTAATATGCTGCTTGAGGAAAAAAAAATATGTTTACTTTTTTGAGGCCAGTGTAATACTTTGTTCGGCTAATTATATTGGCAAATATTACAGGTTTGCGCCATCAAAGCTCCAGGATTTGGTGAAAACAGGAAGGCTAATTTGCAAGATCTTGCTGCTTTAACTGGAGGCCAGGTAAGCATCTGTCTTCGTACGCTCCTGTATAAGATATTTGCTATTTGTTCTTATGCAACCAGCATTTCTTACCTGTGCATGATAGGTCATAACTGAAGAACTTGGATTGAATCTTGAGAATGTGGAGTTGGACATGCTGGGAAAATGTAAAAAGGTATATTTGATAATGTCACTGTAGTATGGATTTGATTGGTGCATCCCCGAGCTTTCGTATTACTTAATGGTGCAAGAAACGTGGTCCCTCATTGCAATTCTTGTTTATTTTCTATTCTGCTGAACAACATTTCTCTGTCTTTCCTAGTCTCACGGCATTTTGTTTTTTAGGTGACTATCTCCAAGGATGACACCGTCGTTCTTGATGGTGCTGGTGAGAAGAAGGCCATTGAGGAGAGATGTGAACAGGTTTTTTTATCTTCACTGATATTATCAATACAAGCGCCATATTATCCAGTGGTGGGGGGTTGAACCTATGTTGTGCTCTTTGTATTGACAGATCAGATCAGCAATTGAACTGAGCACATCTGATTATGACAAGGAGAAATTGCAGGAAAGACTAGCTAAGCTTTCAGGTGGTGTTGCAGTATTGAAGGTATTCAATTTAATTGCAGTCTGTATTATTTCAGAACCTAAATATACAGAAACTTTTAGAAAAGATCCCAACTTCTCTAATACGCCAATTGTAGAAAGTATATTGATTTGAGTTGGTATGGGTCTGCCAGGTCGGAGGAGCTAGTGAACTTGAGGTTGGTGAGAAGAAAGACAGAGTTACAGATGCTTTGAATGCCACAAAGGCTGCTGTAGAGGAAGGAATTGTTCCAGGTTATTACATGTTCATGTCTCTTCATGCGTTGTCCAACTTTCCAAGAGCCCAATAGTTGGAGACTAATCTTGTTCTTGTTGTGCAGGTGGCGGTGTTGCACTTCTTTATGCATCAAAAGAATTGGATAACTTGCCAACAGCCAACTTTGACCAGAAGATTGGTGTCCAAATTATTCAGAATGCTTTGAAGGTCTGCAATTTTACATTCCTCGCTATCGCATTTGCAGAGTAGTTGTCAAGCCATAATTAGCCGACTGGTTATGCTTTGGAATGAATTTGTATTTGATAGGCTGATATGTCTGAACTTTCTAATTGCAGACACCAGTACATACAATTGCCTCTAATGCTGGGGTGGAGGGTGCTGTAGTGGTTGGTAAACTGTTGGAGCAGGATGACCCTGATCTTGGATATGATGCGGCAAAAGGTTCGGATCCTTCTATTTCCTAAAATTAGAGTTAAACTAGGTGGCATGCCAATGCATACAGAAGAAAAAAAATCGATTGATCTTTACGTTCATCTCTGCAACAGGTGAATATGTTGATATGGTAAAATCAGGGATCATTGACCCTTTGAAAGTAATTAGGACCGCCCTAGTTGATGCTGCTAGGTGAGCACATACTCCTTTATATTTCTTCATCCAATGTATTTCTTTCCTTGGCATTCTTACTATGGGTTTAACTTATATCCACGGACGACTTATACACTATTAGTGCAACTTAATCTTGTTATCATCGTCAATGTAAAAGTTACACTGCCGGTGTGAAGAAAGGCTCATGCTTTTACTTTTTTTGTTGCGTGCAGTGTGTCATCTCTATTGACTACAACTGAAGCTGTTGTTGTTGAGCTTCCCAAGGATGAGACGCCATCTCCACCTATGCCTGGTGGTGGTATGGGCTACTAATGCACTAGCAAAGAACAGTGATTCAAGTGCCTGACATACAATTTAGCACACAGAATAAGAAACTTAAGGTTGTCTGATGAATTCTTACGGTAGCGATGGTACCTCAATTGTAACAATAGCAAGAGATGAATGTGAATTCGTGTTTTTGTAGGTTGAGAATTTGTAATATTTGTAAGACAGTTCGGCATCCTCATTTTTTTGTCTACAAAAATTGTTATCCTCAGTGACAGTTGAATTCTAAGAATTTTTGAAGGAGCCACCCCAACCAGCTTTCCTTTCTTAGCTATAATAAATAAAAATTAAAAAGACCTGTTAAAAAAATACTAATACTGCAAAGTCAAGTTTCCTATTATTGACAGATACAAATTTTTCTTTATATAAAGGAGCATACACAATTTAGTAAGGTTCTATTGTACCCAATACCAATACTCTCAAGGAAATTCCAACAACTTAACCACATTTTAATCTCACAACTCCATTTTTCTACATTTCTGATCACTTCTCTTTAAAAAGTGCATGGCATTGTCAATCAAAGAAACATCTCGACTCAATAACACACATCAACAAGAAAGAATATCAATGTCAAGGCAATCATCATCCTCCCTTATTGCAGTTTTATTTGCAGCCATCAACCTTGTAGTTTATAACTGCAGTTGATCCCGAACCAATCCTGGAATTACACATGCATGATATTCTTAAGAGGCAACAACCCGAGGGCCAGGCCAATATTAATGGTGTAGCCATTCCCTACGCCAATGGAGCTTTTCCATCAGCCAATATTAATGGTGTTCCACTAGGAACAGGATTAGCCGCAACATGATTTGGTGGAGGAAGCACGAATGGCCAAACTGTGACCATGGGCAGAGCTAGGGGATGAAAGGGGGTTCGCCAAAAAAATTACACAATATTTGCTAGGTCAAAATTATTTTTTAATGTTTTATAGTAGATGTTGAATCCCCTCGACTTATTCTTATGTTACTTCTTTATATTTTGAAACCCCTCACTGAAATTCCTGGCTCCGCTACTGTTTGTGACTACCCAACTAGGCCTTGATGGCCTAGGACTTGGCTTTGGAACAATCACTGTTATTGATGATATCTTGACCCTTCTCCTTAGACCCTATAATTCTCCCTTGACGAATGCCACTTTTCTCTTTTATGAATTCAACAACAAACAAGCGAGAGAAGCAAGATTTCAAGCTACAAGCCACATTGGTAATCCATATTCTAAAACCGGTTTCAACATGAATAGAAAAAAATTCTTCATTCTGCTTTTTCTAACCCATGCTTTTATTAAGTGTTAAAGAATGTAAAAAACCTACCAAGTAAAATAACATGAGTTGACTATTCGACAATTACCTGATGCTATAGAAGACCACATTTGGTCTAATGGGCAATGCACACATTCATTGCTCCTCTAAGCATTATAAGCAGCTGATTCTTACTCGGCCAAGTGCAGTAGCTTCGTCAAGTCCATATAATGAATCGATCAATGATGTCCGCAGTGAAGCTGGACCTCTAGCAATGTCCATCCCTATCTCACTAGCGACACCAAAGATAGCCAATGCAGAAGCTGTCGCTTCAATAGCATGGGATGGATCAACTGCGAGAAAGGCAGCAATGAGGGCAGTGACAGAACAACCAGATGCGGTAATCTTTTGCAACATAGGCACTCCATTATGCACACAAACGACCCTATCACCATCCGTAATATAATCAACAGCTCCAGAAACAGCAACTACGCTACCACTTTGTTGAGCAAGGGATTTTGCTGCTTCAACAGCATCTCCTGAACAGTAGACGCTATCCACACCCTTAAATCAATCAAATGGAAAGAGATTAGAAACTATATGCACAAGAATTGAAATTTAGTCGCTTAACAAGAAACAGAATAGGAACGCAAAGGAAAATTGCAATACAGTAACGACGTGTTCTCAGTTCTCACAAACAAATCTTTGCTTACTAAAAAATAGTAATCTCCCATTCAACTTCTTTAAAGTTTAACTATGAGCACATGGTTCTAAATCATGTACAAATAGCAACAGAATCAAGTGTATATCCCTTTTAAGTTTATGGACAACGGTAGCAAAATTTGTCCTAAAGTATACAAATCAAACTACATGAATATTTCATCGAATTACTTGCTCTTCATTAAACGATTTCATTTTCTGTAAATTAACCTGTGTATAACTAGCCATATTAATTGTTATTACAAAATCATTAAGCTGACTAACAATTACCCATTTTCGGCACACTAGTTTCTTCTTCCCAACTCATACATTGAATTTTGGTCACCTTTCGACCTGTTTTAGGAACTTTCTCGGCTACCACTCCACATATACCATCAATAGGTAGCATAGCCCCAATTAACATATTTTCTGATTAAGCACAAGAAATAAGAAATATGAAAAGGAGTTAAGTGTGCAGAAATAGAAGAAGATTCTTCTCTTCCTCCCATTCTTACATCAGTAATATAAAGACAAGGTAATCGTATGCAGGTCATGCGAAAGGAGAGACCAAATTTTTTGATAGACCCAATATTATCAATCCTTGCATAAAAATGCAGCCTTTTGTTAAAACAAACAGATTTTGGCTTGTTTGTCATCAAACAGACAAGACAACACAGAAGGTAATTATTCAATGACGGCAACAACTATGTCTCAATCCCAAACCATTTGGAGTCGGAGATATGAATCCTTACTATCCATTTGGAAAGTTTGGGAGAGGGTGGAGGAAGCGAGGGTTAGGAGGACTGTGTCTATTTCCGAGAACCAGTTCGGTTTTATATCGGGACATTCGACTACGGAAGCCATCCATCTTGTTATGAGGTTGGTGGAACAGTATAGGGATATGAAGAAGGATTTGCATATGGTGCTTATTGACCTACAGAAGCGTACGACAAGGTCCCTAGGGAGGTCCTTTGGAGATACTTGGAGGCTAGAGGTGTTCCTGTAGCATACATTAGAATGATTAAAGATATGTATGATAGAGCTAAGACTCGGAACATTTTCCGGTTGGGATGGGGTTACACAAAAGATCTGTGCTTAGCCCGTTTTTATTTGCTTTGGTGATGGATGCACTGACGCGTCATATTCAAGGGGAGTTGCCATGGTGTATGTTATTCGCTAACGATATAGTACTGATTGATGAGATACGAGGCGGCGTCACTGAAAAGTTGGAGGTTTGGAGACAAACCTTAGAGTCTAAAGGTTTCAAGTTGAGCACGACTAAGACGGAGTACTTAGTGCAAGTTCAGCGACGTGACAGAGGGAGCACATATGGACGTGAGGCTTGATTCACAAGCCATCCCCAAGAGAAGAAGTTTAAGTATCTTGGGTCAGTTATCCAAGGGAACAGAGAGATTGGCGAGGATGTCACACATCGTATAGGAACGGGATGAACGAAATGGAGTTTAGCATCTAGGGTCCTGTGTTACAAGGATGTACCACCAAAACTTAAATGTCAGTTCTACAAGGCGGTGGTTAGACCGACTATGTTGTATGGGGCAGAATGCTAGCCAGTCAAGAACTCCTTATCCAGAAGATGAACGTAGCTGAAATGAGTATGTTGCAATGGATGTGAATAAAGATATTCGGGAGAAAGTGAGTGTGGCCCTATAGAGGATAAGATGCGAGAAACGAGGCTTAGGTGGTACGTGCATGTGAGATGGAGAAGCCTAGATGTCCCAGTGAGAAGGTGTGAATGGTTGGCGCTGGCAGGTAGGAGATGAGGCAGAGGGCGGCTTAAGAAATATTGGGGAGAGGTGATCAGGCTGGATTACTCTTCCCAGACCCCACTCGTGGGATTCCACTGGGTTGTTGTTGTACTATCCATTTGGACCCGTTTCATTCCAATATTCAATAATTTTGTATTCTACATTTTCTACTAGCAATTAACATACAAATCTCTTAGCAGACAAAACTAAACAGAACTCCTTGTAACCATTGGACATAATGTAAGCATACCATCAATGATAATATTGATATTCCATACTCCATTAGTTTCAATTTATGTGACACTATTTTTTATACTAATTAGTTCAAAAAAAAATGACATATATATATATATATATATATATATATATATATATATATATATAACTGTAGATAATCTCTTCATGTCATGTCAACTGTATCATATAAATTGGATATAGAGTATATAGTATGCAAAAACAGCTGATACAAAATATTGTATACTTCTTTCGAACCAACTTATTACTTGTTATCGGTACTATTTTGCTATTCTTTGTTGCTATGTCCGATTTAGTTTTCTAACTATTTGTCTTGCTATCAAGGCTTCCTTCACCTTCTTTAGCCGAGGGTCATTCGGAAACAGTCTTCCTACCCTGGAAGGCTGCGTACATCCTACCTCCCCAGACCCCACTTGGTGGGATTATACTGGGTTGTTGTTGTTGTTGTTGTTGTTGTTGTTGCTGCTTCCGTCCCAACTTATGCTATACTAGTTCCTTTTTAGTTTGTCCCAAAATATTGTCACCTTTCCATATTTAGAAACACTTCAACTTTCAAATTTTCATTTTATTTAGACCATAAATTTTAAAAATCTTCCTTTTTTCTTAAACTTGTTAAGAACGGTACCACATAAATTGAAACGGAGTAACTATATATTATCTTACCTTGGAATTAGAGTCAACAGAACCCTTAAAAAGAGCAAGAATCTCAGACCCATTCCCTCTAACAACACTAGGCTTTAAATTCATCATTTCCAAACACGCCTTTAACCGGAAACTTGTTCCACCAGCAGCTACAGGATCAAGCACCCACGGCTTCTTACACTGGTTAGCCACTTCTGCAGCCAACTTCATACCCGGTAACCAGTCAGGTGTGAGTGTTCCCATATTTATGCAAACTCCGAGGGCTTTTGGTGTAAATTCCGGAATTTCATCAACTGAATGGACCATTGCCGGCGATGCGCCGGCGGATAATAAAGTGTTGGCCATGAAATCCATTGAAACGAAGTTTGTTATGCATTGAATTAATGGTGATTTTGAACGAACTAATTCTAAGTGGGCCCATGCTTGTGGGGCCCACTGTAAATTGGAACCTTCAACTCCTTTTTGGGGTTCATTGGTTTTGATTTTGTCTTCTGCCATGGATGTTTTTGGCTAAGAAAATGGAGTTTTGAGCTGTGTGTCAATTTGGCGAGCTGATATAATACTTAAATAGGAGTTGAAGGATCACACGCTGTTAATTGCAAAAAACTTTTAATAGTAAAATTTTGCACCATTGAACAATTTTGGTCCTTTTAAGTTATAAAAAATGAGTAGTATTTTTTTTCTCAGTTGTTAAACAACAACAACAACCCAGGGTTATGCCACAAGTGTGATCTGTACAGTAGTGTATATGCACACCTTACTCTTAACCCAAGGAGTAGAAAGGTTGCTTCTAATAGACCTGCAACTTAAGAAGAAGGAAATCGACAATATATCAGTACCATTAACAGAAACCATAGAGATAATAACAACATCGTAAGAACTAGAAAATAGTTGAAAGCAATAACAATAGCCAGTAAATAAGGCCCGACACTATGAAAAATGAAAGAGTAGTGTAAACACAATATTAACGATTAGTAGTCTAAGACAAAATCCTATCAGACTAGCCTCTCACTGGTACGGAGTAGAAATATGTTCAACTACCTCCTAACCTACAACCCTGATGTTCGACCTCCACACTGTCCTATCAAGGGCCATGTCCTCGAAAATCTGAACTCACGCCATGTCCCGCCTCATCACCTTTCCCCAATACTTTTTAATCCACCATCTACCTCTTCTCGTACCCGCCAAAGCCAACCGCTCACACCTCCTAATCGAAGCATCTGGGCTTCTCCTCTGTACATGCCTGAACCATCTGAGCCGCGCTTCACACATCTTGTCACCCATAGGAGTCACGCCTTCCTTCTCCCGAATATCTTCTTTTCTAATCTTATCCATCCTGGTGTGCCCACACATCCACCTCAACATCCTCATTTCTGCTACTTTCATCTTCTGGATATGTGAGTTCTTAACTGGCAAACACTCAGCCCCATTGTGAGTTCTTAACTGGCAAACACTCAACCTCATACACAATGGTCGGTCTAACCATCGCTCTATAAATCTTGTCTTTGAGTATTGATGGCACTTTCTTGTCACACAGGAAGGTGTAGTTTTTGCTACTACCAACAAGATTTGCACCGATACCACTTTGCCTAGGCTCATATCCAAGGTTTTAAAGTGACCGTCACACCCTTCTACTCATCGGGGCATTGGCACTTGCCCTGACGGTCGGGTGTAGGTCGGTCGCTTAAGCGCCATCTATTTTCGGGGCTAGTTGATTCGACTGGTGAGTTGTTATGCACTCCTTAACGGATTTCAACTTCCATAACCACTGTTGTACTGTCATAATCGACCAACACCCTTTGTAGGATCTATGTCAGCGCACGAAAAACTTTACTATATGTGTTATGTGAGGCTTTGTCTTGTCTCACAACAAAGTGGACCAAATTCTTACAAATTTGGGTCCACAAAAACTGGGGTCCACTTTGTTGTTAAACAAAATAGGGCCTCATATAACTAGTATTAATTGTGTGAGACACAAAATGAAAAATTTCGTTAGCACACAGTTTGGCACCCGTAACTCGACTTCCGATTCATCCCGAAAAAAGGTGTAGTTTTTGCTACTTTGGTTCTATGTTTGGTATTTGGTACAATTTTTGAGCTTGTTATAAAACAATAAAAGAAGAAGAAGAGTATTGTAGAGAAAAGTAGAGAGAGAGAATTCTTATTGCTTTGAGATTAATTACAATGGAATAGAACCCTCTATTTATCGGGAGAGGGTGACTTAGCCACCAAGTAATGAACCTTAGAATCTCTCTAAATATAGACATTCACCATAAATAAAATTCTATTTATAACACTCCCCCTTGAATGTCTATTCAACAGATAATATGCCTCGTTAAATCCTTAACTAAATAAAATCCAGTGGGAAAAAATTCTAAAGAAGGAAAAAGAGTATACATATCTAACAATACGCCTTTTTGTTGCCTCATTAAAAACCTTGCAAGGAAACCCCAGTGGGACAAAACCTTGTAAAAGAAAAAGAGTGCAACGCGCATTAACTCCCCCTGATGAGAGCATCAATTCACATCTTTAAGCATTTTCATTCCAATCTTGTGCACTATCTTCAAAAGATCTTTGGTATAGATTTGATAAACAAATCAGCCATATTAACTTGAACAAATTTGTTTCACTTTGAAATCATCATCCCTAATAGATGTATTGTCTTCATATGATCTTGTTGGAATCGTCAGTTCAATATCTTCACATAAAGGTGAAAATTCTTGCTATCGTATTATCATGCTTATAGTTATAGTAAGATACATTTGTGCACAAATTGTGCTGAGGAAGTGGTACCTCAAGATCAAGAATTGTATATGCTTTAAGCAGTTTAAATCCTTTGGGGATTGTCATATAAGTATAGTCAAATAAGCCATTTAAAGAGACTTTAGATGCATATCAACTTTTCATGTCATGCTAGACATATAAGATAAATAAAAGTGATTGCACACACCATTGACTTTATACTTTCAAGTGTTTGAACTGCAGGTCCAAAACAACATGTCTTTCATATGAAACCAATTCTACTTGAATTGTTTTTCTAGACTTAAGATCCTCATATATATATTTAGCGCTATTATAGATGTCGTTGACAAATATTTTATATCGGTTCCAAACTCCTTATTTTCATATAGACATAACATAGAGATCTTTTCATTCATATATTCAGGTACCTGAATCTCTCATGAGGTTTTATGAAGTGTTATGTCATGTGATCTTCTAGATCACTTGCCTCCTTATTATGATCGCTTTGATCATTTGCTCATCTTCTTTATCAAGACGTTCTATTTGAAACCGATTTGTCTATACGCTTTAAGCATACCATAGACTTTGTCATTCTAGGACTTAATAGGAGCATTTGCAATGAGAATATAGTTACTTTCTTTGGGTCAGCAAATGCGTCTGGCATGCTTTACAATATATTGGAGAAGAATTTTCCTTTTATGAACTTCAAGTTCATATTGTTTTATTCGAGGATCTAGATGTATAAATAATAATTCATTTCATGTAACTTTTTCTCAACTGTTTATCATGTATCCCCCTCATGTTAGAAAAATTAACTCGTTTCTTCAACTTTGAGAACCCATCTTTGTGTGTTATGATGTTAATCAAAATGTACACTGCGCACATCAATAAAAATAAGATGGAATTATTTGGTTCATGACCCTAAACCACTTGTGAGGGGCGAATGTAATATACTTTTGTATATACATATATCAAACTGATATAGATAACTTTGTTCTCATAAACAATTATTTAGCTATTAAGTGGAGACACTCAATAAATCATTTTGCTAATCAACTGTGATGTAACCCAACTTATCAAGATAAACTATCTTGGATAGAAAATCTTGAAATTATGCTCTAAATTAAATTATTGAGCAAATTACCTCGCAAACACCAAGTTGCGGGTTAATAATAATCGCACATGTAACCATCTCATAGATGCATCTTATGTGGTATACATGACAAGTGAATGAACCCATATTCACTTTTGATATTTCCAGCATTCATGGGATTCAGTCTCAATTTTAGTTGGTTTATTAATTAATAAGAACAAGAATGTAAGATAATTCGTAAAGAACTTTCTAGTTCTTTAATATTTACCCATGTGAATTCTCTTTTATTTTGCACATCATGGCTAAATCAATTATGCCAACTAGATAAATTATCAAAATTGATAAACTTCAAGTTTACACCATGATGTGTGCAATTATCAATAAACTTCAAATTTATTATGATATGAGTTTTTATATCAATAAACTTCTAGTTTATTGTTGCATTCTTTTATTTATGTAGTACAAATTGGAGAATAAAGCGGGTAGCTTTTCACATACATATTACCCCGCTACAAGTTGTAGTAATAAAAGATATTCCTTTATTTATAGTCTCAATATAATCAACCGCCTTCGCGTATACTTTGGAAACTGAATAAGTTTCTTTGAGACTTACTACAACACAATACCTTATTGGTAATCAATTGTGTTTCTCCAAAATAGTATAATTGGCTCTTGCAGAGTTCTCAATTATTTTTGTAGTACCACATATTCATCAACATCCATATGATAAATATCTCTTTGAAGAAGGAAGTTATACCATTATGGTTATGGTCAAAATATATGCAAGATCTGTTTCTTGCATTACCGTTATCTTTAATAATCACAATGCCAAAATATTTTGGCGTACAATAAGTACGTGAACAATGACCATTTATGCCATAATAATGACATTATTTTCTTATATCATCTCAAACCTCCTTCTAGAGGTGAGTGTGGTATATTCACTACCACTAGCACATTCATATTCTTCCAAGAATTAATATATATTCATAAATCAGATGTTGTCACATTCACATCATGAATGAACCATAATCATCTATATGTGCTTTATAAAATCTCATGTTAAATCGATGACAAATATTACTTCCACAAAATGAAGAATTATTTTGAGAATCCTTATTGTTCTTATTACCACAATGATGATGATTATAATTTCGTCTATTTTCACGTCCACATCCATTGATACATTTATAGTAATAATTTTGTCTTCTTTCAGACTTATCACATATTGCTATCACATTCTCTTAAGGGAATGAGAATGAGCAAATTCAATGGGACGAGTTTTCAATAGTTTGCCCACAATCATACATGAATTTGATCATGGCAAGACATAGAAATTTTACCATTTCAGGTGGTTATAATTTCTTACAAATTCCATTAGAATTATAATCAAACTTTGTTGTCTTTGCTTGTATATAAAATCAAATTCTAGAATTTCAAGAATTTGAAAGAGAAAAGTAAAATACTTACCTTAAATTCAGAATTTAATCATGAAGGAAGTTCATGGAACAATTGACAATCATTATGCTCAATCTCAAAGCTTATACTCAATTGATTAGAGTCTCGTGCTGATAACGTGTTATGAAACAATAAAAGAAGAAAAAGAGTATTGTAGAGAAAAATAGAGAGAGAGAATTCTTATTGTTTTGAGATTAATTACAATGGAATAGAACCTTCTATTTATAGGGAGATGTTGACTTAGCCACCAAGTAATGAACCCTAGAATCTCTCTAAATATTCACCATAAATAAAATTCTATTTATAACAGAGCTATAGTTTTTGCTATTTTTAGTCTATGGTATTTTTTGAGATTTGACAATATTTTCTTGATGTTTTTTTGTTAAATTTTTATTACAGTTTCTATTAAATTACTTAAATTTAACCAAAATTTATTAAATATTTGATAAAACCCAAAAAGATATACACTTTTAACAAACCAAAATGATCATAAACCTACCCTTAAACATAAATTCTCACTTTTGGTCTTTCCCGTCTATTTATTGAAAAAAGTTTTAGTTAACATTATTCTAACCAGACCTTACTTGCGGAAAGGATTGGAGTTGTTTGGGTAGTTATTGTCGGGCTTCCCCGTCCCATTTACATCCTTTAGAATATACAATTGGCCGATTAGATTCAGTATTATACATAAATTATATATTTGTCGGCTATTTTTGATTAAACTATTAGGTGGGCGGCTATTTGAGTTAATACTTTTATTTTTTACGTGCCGTCATCACCAAAAACTGAATTAAGCAAATCAATAACATGGATCAGCCGTAGTGATTGCTGTCCGACAAACAAATGAAACCAAAGAAACTTTAGCATTTCCTCTATCGCCGGCAGCAGTAGCATTTGCAACCAAAATGCATAATCACAACCACCTTCAACCACCACCCACCACCATTTCCTCCGCCGCCACCACCACCAGCATTTGCCGCAGCATAACTTTTTCAACACCCTTTATCCTCTTAATCNCCCCCCCTTCCATTGCTTACCTCATCTCAGGTTCTACTAAAGACTCTTCAAGAATCCTTAGATTACTATTTTCCATTTACCATCCAAAAAACCAATATTTAATCCATCTTGATAAAAAAACTTCTAAATCAGAACTTAATAATTTAGCACTTTCTGTTCAGTCAGTGCCAGTTTTTAAAGCTGCCCAAAATGTTAATGTTATTGGAAAAGCTGATTTTAGATACAAAATTGGGAGTTCTGCATTGGCTGCTACACTACATGGGGCTTCTATTCTGTTGAAACTTTCAAAATCTTGGGATTGGTTTATTAATCTTTCTGCTGCTGATTATCCACTTGTTACTCAAGATGGTATGATATAGAAAAAAGATTTGATTTTTATTTGTTTTTGTTTCGAATAACTACTCTCTCAGCTCTTTCTGAGTCGAGGGTCTATATTGGAAGCAGATTCTCTGCCTTCACTGGGTAGAGGTAAGACGTGCGTACACACTAGCCTCCCCAGACCCCACTTGTGGCAATATACTGGGTTTGTCGTTATTGTTGTTGTTGTTGTTGTTGTTGTTTTTGTTGTTGTTTGTTTCGAATTACTACTCTATCCGTCACAATTTATGTGGTGTTGTTAGTCCGAGCACGAAGTTTGAGTAAAAAAGAAAGATTGTTTGAAATTTGTGGTCTAAAACAGGGTGAAATGAGAATTGTAAAAGTTAAATTGTTTCTAAATATAGAAATGTGACATTCTGTTTGGTATTGGTTCATTAATCTTTCTGCTGCTGATTATGCACTTGTTACTCAAGATAGTATGAATTAGAAAAAGATTTGATTTTTATTTGTTTTTGTTTCGGATTACCACTCCCTTCGTCTCAATTTATGTGTTGTTTAACTGAGCACGAAGTTTGAGAAAGAAAGAAAAGTTGTTTGAATTTTGTGGTCTAAAACAGGGTTAAATGAGAGTTGTAAAAGTTAAATTGTTTCTAAATATAGAAATGTGACATTCTGTTTGGGATTGGTTCATTAATCTTTCTGCTGCTGATTATGCACTTGTTACTCAAGATAGTATGAATTAGAAAAAGATTTGATTTTTATTTGTTTTTTTGCTTTGAATTTCTCTTACTAGCTAATTTTGGGCTTTTTGTTGTGAGTTTAAGATCTTAATTGAGTTCTTACTAATGAAGACTTTTGAAACTTCTCGTCGTAAACAATGCCAGAATATTTATACGAGTATAAGGCTTTTGAAGTTTGTCTTGTTAAATATGCCATAACATGTGTGTGTTTAAAAGTTTCTCATTAAGGGTAAAATGAAAAGTTTATGTTAAATTATTTCTATATTTAGAAAGAGGTCATTCTTTTTGGAACAGACTAAAAATAGAGTCATACAAATCGGAATAAAGGGAGTATATGTAGGCGATTATCCTTAAGATGACCATTGACCACCTTAGTTGTAAAGGGTGGATTTTTATTGTTGAAAAAAAAAGTCTTTTTCTTTTTGAGTGTTGAATTCCATTTTTTGGTGATTTTAGGATCTTAATTGAGTTCATGCTACGACCCCACCTGTGGGATTACACTAAGTTTGTTGTTGTTGCAATTGAGTTCTTTCTAAGATTGGTTTTTGTCGAACTTAGCCTAGTATTTAAGTGGAGAAGAGTGGGGGATGGGAGGGGGGGGGGGGTATCCCCAAGTTCCGAAGGCTGCAGTTGGTCTTAAGGGTTGGCCCCAGATGAATTTCTCCGTCATCAAAAAGAAAAAATTCCTGAAGTTTAAATACTATAGGAAGGCGAGTTATCTTTAAAATGGCCATTGACCGCTTTAGTTGTGAAGGATTATTCTATGTTGTTGACATTATTCTATGTACTTGATGCAATTTGTTTCTTGGATAAGTTTGTTAGAATCATTGTAGGAGAAGTTCATTGATACTGGTAGCTTCTTTAGTAAGTAAAAATGGCTTACTTGGAAAAGTTTATTGATAGTCGGGTTGGCTTGCTGTTATATTGTCGATCAATGAATCTGTGTAGTTGAACTCCATTTGTCCTTGCACCTGGCTATCTATTCAGTTGATGAGTAATAACTGATGGTTTTGTTGTGCAATTCTTCACTTTGAACTGTGCCATTCGTTGTTTGGATTGGTTTACAGTAGAACCTCAATCGATTATCTTTCCGTTGAACTCAATTTTCAGATCTTCTTCACATTTTATCATATCTGCCCAAGGATCTTAATTTTGTCAACCACTCGAGCTACATTGGTTGGAGAGAGTATGACCATCTCCTTCTCCTGTTATATGATTCTCCTGTACTACTTAAGAATATGAACACACGGGTAACATACAGTTCTATGGATTGTGTAGGTCAAAGAAGTTGAAGCCGATAGTTGTTGATCCCGGGCTTTATCTTGCAGAGGAAAGTGAAGTATATTATGCCACTCAGAAAAGGGAACTGCCAGATGCTTATCGATTATTCACAGGTGAGGATGCTGATGATCATTTTATCTGCATCAACAGTTATTGCAATGCGAGAATAATATTTTTGCTTTTTTTGTCTTGTGATTGAGGGAAAATAAAGGTTTTCTTGATGGAGAGGACAACTATGACATTGAGAACAATCCCTTTTGTTAAAAAGAAAGGAGTAAGGGCTAAAGTAGAAAATAAGATTAAAACCGAAACATTATGCATTAAGAGTAGAGTCCCATCCCTTTATTGGTTTTGTAACATTAGGAAGCAAGGAGAACCATCTTTTTTTTATAACTGTGGTGTCCAAGCGAGCTTGCGCGTACCTCGACTAATTGTCCCAGATATCTGCTACCTCCGACCAGTACAAGTACGAAGTACCCACCTAGGCTTGGGTAGTAGAACCATCATTCTCAAAAATGTTTTCAGTCACATAGCAGGAAGTAAACACTTTCGCATTTCTCTCTAGCCAAAATGATCAAGCAGTCTCCAATGAAACAGATAGCAGAATCCTCATAGAGCAATAAATTCAGAAGTATGCGAATGAAAGAAATGGGCATAAAGATATCCTAAACCTTTAGGAACCTTTTCCACAAGTCCATGCAGAAATGCAATGTTAAAGTTGATTCTTTTCACTTTAATATAAATATTAGTAGGTTTTACTATGGATTCATCAACTTATTCACTTCGGATCTGCAAAAGATCATTCATGTTAAGTCTCGTTAGGGTCTATCATTTATGTCTACCATGCAAATCATAGATTTTTAACGGAATCATAGGTTTGATAGCTGAATAAGGGAAAGGGTGTACAGGACTATTTAGAATTATTATTCTTTACTTTTAAAACAATTTCTTGTCTCTTTTCGTCTTCTTGAACCAAGAATCTATCGGAAACAGCCTTTATACTCCCTCAGGATAGGGGTAAGGTCGTTGTACACACTACCCTCCCCAGACCCCACTTGTGGAATTTTACTAGGTTGTTGTTGTTGTTGTTGGTGGTGGTGTACTTTAAAACAATTTCTTGGAAGTTTTGGGAAGCGTTATGGCTATTTTTAAAAGGCCACTTGGCTAGTAGATCCGTCAACCAGTAAATATAGTGAAAACATAAGATTCAGGCGCTCACACACAAAAGTAGATCACACAACTTGGTCTATCAAATGTCAAAACTATCCTGAAGAGTTTTGCATTTGCCAAGGGAAAATTAGCTTCTTTTCCTTCATATAAGCGATATTCAAGTCTAACTTTGTCTAGTTTTCATTCCATTTATTTAATTGCGGAATTGACAGAATTACAGCATGATATATATACATGGAGACTAATTAGAAAAGATGATGCTTGTGACAAAGCCCTTCTTTNGGGCAAAAGGGGTTCATCCGAACTTCCTTCGCTGGAAAATTACCCTGTACATATAATGCAATATCCGTTTGTGCCTCTATATATTATATTTTGAATCCCTTGCCACACCCAAAAGCATAGCTAAGTAATCAAGGGGGTTCAAACCTTTGTGAGGTTGTTGGTTCAATTCCCACTTGCCACAGGCACTTCTAATTTTGTAGCTTTTTCTTTTTTGAACCCCCTTGGAGGAAATCCTACCTCCGCCACTGGCCAAGACTCATCATAAATGCCACTAGTTTTTCATGAGATTCTTCTGCCTCGATCTTCCTATTTATCTGAATTATCTTCGAGAAATTTTTATAAAACAGAATATCTTTACCCAGCCAATATGTTGAAATTAATTGGTTTTACATGAGTTTCATACTACTGCTGAATAATTTGTTCTTACTGCAGGATCATCATCAGCTATATTGACTCGGAAGTTTATCGAGTACTGTATTTTAGGCTCAGAAAATCTCCCTAGAACTCTGTTAATGTACTTGTCAAACTCACCATCATCAGAATCTGTTTATTTCCCGACCATTTTGTGCAACTCGCGGAAATTCAATAGAACGGCAATCAACCACAATATGCTCTATGCTTCTTTTAACTCCAGATCACAAGCTCGCCGGCTCAACTCCAGTGACTTCAATGACCTGTTGACAAGTGGAGCGGCATTTGCCTCACCATTTAAGGTAGACGATCCGGTTCTTGATCAAATTGACCATGAACTTCTCCACCACAATCGTGACGAACCAGTGCCGGGTGGATGGTGTTTAGGTGACAGTGAAACTAACAAATGTAGCGTTTGGGGAGACGCTGAAATCCTAAGACCCGGTCCAGGAGCAAAGAGGCTTGAAAAACATTTTCTTGAGCTTTTTTCTAATGGATCATATTTGTCTGATCAATGTCAATATGAGAAGAGCTCCTCCTGATGATAAACATAGCAAAGGAAGAGACCAAGAGATGAATACGACAACAACAACAACAATTACACATCAGTCCCAAACAAGTTTGAGTCGACTATATGAAGTCACTAGCAAAATAGACAGAAGATATGACATGAGCTACTCATTGAACCACTTGAAATATTAATATTTTTTTGTGTATCATTGTCAGGTAGCCAATTCTTTGATTGGAAGCTGATGGTTGTATATTGAACTTTTTCAGAGTAAGATTATATATAATTTATTGAATTGGGCAAGCCTTGCTGGTAGTTGAATCAATGCTCATTTCATTCATAGTTCAAGATCCTTTGATGTCAATATTATGCTCATTTTATTTTTCCCAACAATACTCCAATCACTACCAAAAAAATAGGGATTAGCGACGAATAAATATTGTAGCTACACAGAAAATTCCTATTTAGCAACGGATTAGCGATAAATTATCGAGAAATTCTGTTAGCTACGAGCGATTTAGCAATAAATTAGCGACGAAGTTCGTAGCTATTTTTTTTGGTAGTGAATACTTTGCAAGTAACACGTAGATCTCGTATTTTTGTTCAAAGAATAAGATATCTGAATCTGAATATATATCCAATTGTTAAGATAATCTCTCTAAATTTGAATGCTGGATACTTAAGACAGTTTATATCTTAGCATCTTAATTTGTACTATAGTTTATCTAAAACTAATAGATTTTGTTTTTAAATGGAAGGATGAACTTTTTTATTTCATGGGCTTCTATTTGTATAAGTTGCTAATCGACTTGATGGTTCATTTGGAATGTGCTTAATGATCTAAGTTAGAATTCATATTTGCAGTTATCGTCCTTCTTGATAAGAAACTTGAGCTTATGTGCAAATTATTAGAGTATGTACAAACCATATCATATTCAATCTTGTAAGAAAGAACTTCGTTTAGTTGGAAGGTAGCATATCATATCGTTACATTTAGTCATACTTTAAAAAGTTTAAACACTATCATTTGCAATTATATCAATATTTACTTACGCTTAAAAAGAAAGACAAATACACGTGTAATGTCATGGGCGGCTTTCCAGCCATGCCCCATGACCTCTTGGGCTCGCCCCGTGGCGTCCTAGCAAGCCTCCCAATGCTTAGCCAAGTGACAAGCGCGCCTGTGCCTCTTTCGCCCCACCGATATCCCTCGCCAGCGCCTAGCCGCAGGCATATGCCAACAGTGTCGCGCGTGCAGACCGTGATGCCAAAGACAATGTTGCTAACAACAGACTTGTTTATGCCTTGTAGAAAACTAAGTCCTTTTCATTGTAAATATAGAGTAGTTTTATTTAATGTGTTTTCACTATGTTTCTCTAGCTTAGTTAAGTCTAGTCTTGTAACTTTGGTTTATTTTTTTAAGCACTATTAGGGAGGATCAAGCAATCAAACTTTCTAGCAAGCAAACAATTCTCTGTACTGGTGTCTCTCCCCCTCGACATCGCGTTGCTGTTCTGTAATAGCTTTCATTAATGCAATCAAGCTTTCTTTCATTCTCAATTCTCATTTTTGTTCTCACAATTGCTCTTGGCATTGGTTTTCCCGTATGCCACTAACAATCTCGTCTAGCGTACGGAGGGGACCTCAGTTGGCGGATAGTGACTGCAATGACATTAATTGCTTAGCCTTACGCCACCCTTCCAAGGAATCTCAGGAAGGCGTCGTGTAACAGTTGGTATTAGAGCCTAGGCTCGACATCGGACGAGGGAACACATTGCCATTATCACCATTTCTGACCATGGTAAATCATGAGGACCGCATTGCGGCCCTCGAAGAGACGATTGAAGTATTACGGCCCATCGTGGATACGATGCCTGAAATAAAAACCAGCCTAGTGCAAAGGTTGGACGACCTAGATCGCAGAATGCTCCAGGCCGAAGTTGACAAAGAAAATATCATTCTAGATTCTGAAAGAGACCAGTAAACGACAGCCACAGAGGCAGTTGAATTTTTTAGCAAATTAGAGAGCCTCCAATAGGAGCGTGCTGAGAATTTAGCCTACAGGGCATAAAAGGCAGACAGGGTGACTGCCATGCAACAAACTACAGACAACTTGACAGGTCAGCTCAATGTTGTCAATGCTGCTTTACAAGGTCTGCTTCGAGGAGGCAGAAACCAAATCGAGGGTGCTGTGAACCTCGCCCCCGTGACACAAAAACTGAAATTCCTGAGCCAAAGCCATACAATGGAGCTTGCAATTCCAAAGAAGTGGAAAACTTCATCTTCGACATCAAACAATACTTCGATGCCGTGGGAGGCCTAGAAAAAGCCAAGAAGGTAGCAACTGCTGCAATGTATCTTCAGGGTGATGCTAAACTCTGGTAGTGGGTGAAGTACAAAGCCATCAGGGCGGGTGAAGATGCTCTCGAGACATGGGCAGAACTGAAGGTTGCCATACACCTACAGTTCTTCCCCCGAAAATGTTGAGTACACAATGCAAGGAGAAAACTATGGGAGCTTCGCTAGACCAAATCAGTGTGGGATTATGTGAGGGAATTCTCCGCACTCATGTTGAACATACATGACATGGGGGGACAAAGACAAACTTTTCACCTTCCTGGAAGGGTTGAAACCTTATGCCTCTATGGAGATGCAAAGACAAAGGGTAGATACCCTACCCAAGACGATCCAGACAGTGGAATGCCTTGGGGACTAACAAGTGGAAACTCGGAAGGATAGGCCTCAACCGCCTACCCGAGCGGGATACAAAGGGGGCCAGACTAGCAATGGTGGCCTTAGCAGAAGTGGAGGAGATCGGAGTGCAACCAAATCTAAGGCTCCCTCCTCAGGCACCAATAGTGTTGCGTCAAACAACAATGACCGGGAGAGAAAACCCCTTCATGATGCCGTCATTGTGGCGGACCATATTGGAATAATGAATGTCCACATGCTCAGATGAACGCCCATCAAGCATTTGATGATGGGACTGATGACGACACAGATGATGTGGACCAGACCGAACTAGTAGGTGCCTTCAATGCAATTGTTGGCTCGATTTTTGTGGCCTTAGCGAGAACCAGTGCTGGTATCCGTAAGAAGAAGGACCCCTATCCAAGCATCAAGAAAGGGAATAAGAAGGCGGATGAGGGGACTCTTCTTAAAAAAGATAGGACCTTAATGTTCATCGAGATGAAGGTAAATGGCAAGCTCACTCGGGCGATAATAGACATGAGCGCTACCCACAACTATTTAGCCTCGACTCAGGTGGAGTGCTTTGGTTTGAATTCCTAAGGCAAACCAATACCATACCTGTACCGTATGCCGACATGCTACTGATGATGGGAGCAAAAGGGTCCAAGCCCTGCATTATCCCCCGCATGCCCATGAAAATGGCCGCTGAGAACATCTCGGCCTTGCAGTTGAAAAAGGGGGTCAAAAGACATGAACCTACGTTCCTGGAAACCCTCTGCATTTAAGATATAGAACGCTCCTCGAGTCCCATTCCTGCACCCATGAAGGAGCTGCTACTGGAATTTGAAGATGCCATGCTACGGGACATGCCAAAGCGACTCCGCCTAGGCGCACTGTGGACCATGAGATTGAGTTGGTGTCGGGCGCGAAGCCACCCGCCCGGGCGCCTTACAGAATGTCACAACCCGAACTCACTGAGTTTCGGAGACAGTAGACAAAAATACTAGACACTAGGATCATCGTGCCCTCCAAGTCCCATACGGGTCCCCTGTTCTATTCCAAAAGAAATATGATGGCAGCCTACAACTCTGTGTGGATTATCGAGCTCTAAACAAAATCACCATGAAGAACAAGTACCCCTATTTCGCTAATGACATACTTGTTCGATAGACTGGGTGGTGCGACGGTGTTCACCAAAATAGACCTGAAGACAGGTTATTGGCAAGTTCGGATTGTAGAGGGTGATGAACACAAGACGACCTGTGTGACAAGATATGGGTCGTACGACTTCCTGGTTATGCCATTCGGCTTGACTAACACCCCAGCCATATTTTTCACCCTGATGAACCAAGTCTTTAGAGAGTACATTGACGAATTCGTGGTGGTTTACTTGAATGACATTGTGGTATATAGCCAAACACTAGAAGAACCCCTAGAGCACTTGCTGAAGGTCCTAGCCCCATTGTGGGAGCATGAACTATATGCGAAGCTATCCAAGTGCTCATTTGCTCAAAAGCAGATTGACTTCCTTGGACATGTCATCGAGGAAGGGCAGATCAATATGGAGCAACAGAATATTTAGGCAATTACATATTGGTCGCCGCTTAAGGATATCCATGCCTTGAGGGTGTTCTTTGGCCTATGCAACTTCTATCGGCGATTTGTGAAAAACTAATCCCTCATCGTAGTGCCATTGACATGACTCCTTAAGAAGGTCGCGCTTTGGGTTGGGGACCCAGGCGAGAGGAGGCCTTCAACACATTGAAAACGGCTATGTCTAGTAGCCCCGTCTTGGCCCTCCCTGATTTGGCCAAGCCATTCGAGGTACAAACGGATGCATCCGACTATGCCCTTGGCGGAGTCTTGCTATAAGAAGGGCATCATATAGCGTACGAGAGCCAGAAGCTGAAGGATATATAGCGCCGTGAGAAAGAATTATTGGTTTTCGTCCATTGCTTGTGCCTTTGGAGGCACTATCTGCTGGGGACCCCGTTCGTGGTCAAGACAGACAACACAGGTGTTAGCCATTTCATGACCCAGCCGAAGCTGAATGGTCGACAGGCTAGGTGGCAGGAACTCCTAGCTGAATTCCACTTCAACCTGGAGTACCGAAGTGGGAAGACCAATCATGTTGCTAATGCGCTCAGTCGGAGAGCTGATCTAGCATCGGTGTGCCTACTCGCCACCCTAAGGGGAAGAGAAATAGCCACCACCATCAAGGACCAGATACAGGATCTACTCATCAAGGATCATGTTGCATAGTATTTGGTTGATTTGGTAGGACAGGGCAAGACTCACCAGTTCTACATGGAAGATGGTTTCCTGAAAGTGAAAGGGAACCGGCTTTATGTTCCTAAAGGAGGAGATCTACGAAGGACTCTTCTGGCAAAATGTCATGATACTCTGTGGGCCAGCCATCCCGGTGAAGAACGCACCATGGCGTTACTTCACTTATTGGCCGATGACGTCGCTCAGTATGTGAAGACTTGTCTAGTATACCAGAAGGACAAGTCGGACCGCTTGACACAAGCGAGACTCTTGGAACCACTAGCTGTCCCAAAGAGACCTTGGGAAAGCGTTTCCCTGGATTTCATTGCCGGATTGCCCAAGGT